TTTACAGGGTAATACTAAGAGGAGATAATAACTTGAAAAGATTAAAGTTTACCTCACCCTTTTTATTGCCTTAATTTACCCCTTTTTTAACTCTTTAGCAGGCTAAGACATGAAACAATAGTGTTAAAGTAGCTAAAGGTGCTTAAACAGATATATTTTTCACTTCATAACAAGCAGCTCTAACTTTTCTATATTCTCTTCAGGGCCACAAACGTGCTCCATCTGACGTCAGTGTTGCCAGCTCCGAGGATGAAAAGATCCCTCTGTCGCCCTTGGAATCCCTCCCTGAGAAGATGGAGCCGATCCTACCTGTTCCCTCCCCGGCAAAGCTTCCCGTTTCCAACCATGTGGTGGAAGCAGAGGAGCGAACAGAGGAAGCACCAAACACTCCAGTGAAAGAAGAGCCTGAACAGAAACCATCCGAGGAGAGCGTTCCGGAGGCAGAGCCTGACGTGGCTTCCCCCGTGTCAGAGACTGAACCAGACACACCGTCCAAGGAGCTGCAGCAGTTAGCTATAGACGTGGAGGACGAAAAGGAAGTGGACACCGCAGAGGTTCCTGACAGCTCTGAGATTTCTGAGCCTCCTCCAGAGGAAAGCTCACCAATGGAAGGAGAAGCAAGCACTCCAGCAGAGGAGGAGGAGGAGGAGGAGGAACGATACAAACACCTCAAAGTGACTCTGACTCTGCCAGAGCAGGAGAAAGAAGCCCTAAAAGAGGAAAAGGAAGAGCCGCCTGCAGAAAAGGACTTAATGAATGCAGAGGAGGAGAAGAAGGTGCCAGATAAAGCCAAAGATGAAAAAGAGAGAGATTCTGATTCAGGAAGGGGCTCAGCTGCAGATAACAGCAGCGTGGACCTCAACCTCTCTATTTCTAGCTTCCTGTCCAAAACAAAGGAACCCGGCTCTGTTTCCATACAGGTAAGACTCCAGGCTGCACCTTCTCAGCCATAAGGCTGCGATTTAGACCTACTCTGTTAACACTGCATGGCGTTCTGACAGGACTCTAAGAAGCAGAAGAAGACGCTGAAAAAGACTCGTAAATTCATGGTGGATGGGGTGGAAGTCAGCGTGACCACATCAAAGATCATCTCAGATAACGACACTAAGAACGAGGAGATGAGATTCCTCAGGTGCGAGAAACGCTGTTTAGAGATGACATGAACAAAGGAGTTCAGACTTCAGTAATAAATTCCACCATGGTTGTTCTTCACCAGGCGGCAGGAGCTGAGGGAGCTGCGTCTCCTGCAGAAAGAGGAGCAGAGGGCCCAGCAGCAGCTCAGCAACAAGCTGCAGCAGCAGAAGGAGCAGATCTACAGGCGCTTTGAGCAGGAGACCACTGTGAGTCCTAAAACCCAGAAATGTCTTTGTGTTTTTTTTTTTCTTTCATCATTGGAGCCTCATGTTTTGCCCAGATCAGCCTCTGGAGCAGGTGCTGTTCCTGTCTCCGAGCCGTTTGCAGATAAACACAGGCAACAGTTTCCCCCTGAACTTCCTGAACCGAATCGCTGTAGCTACAGGCCTTTCTGTTATCAGCTTCATCATCTGAACTAAAACCTGCAGAGCTAAACTGTCAGCCAACAAACAGAGCTCAGTGACAGCTTTAGTGTCAACAGGATGTATTTATGTGTTTGATAACTTCTGTTTAAGTTGCTTAACAGAGCCTCATTGGATCAGGTTCCTGGAATATATAAAACTATTTTGTTTTCAAACATTCTTAATGGAAATATAAACTAATTTCATGAGAAAAAAAATCATTTTAAAGCTGAAACGTCTGCTTAGCAATATCTGTTATGTGAAAAGTGGCACCTGGTGAAAATTCAGAGCTCTGAACAAAAAGAGAATAGAAAAGAGAAATTAAGCCTGAGTTTATTTTTAGTTTGCAAACATCCATCCATCTTCCGCTTATCCCGGGTCAGGTTTCATGGGTATCAGCTTCAGTAAGGAGGCCCAGACGTCCCTCTCACCAGCCACTTGGGCCAGCTCCTCCGGGGGAATCCCAAGGCGTTCCCAGGCCAGCCGAGAAACATAGTCCCTCCAGCGTGTCCTGGGTCTGCCCCTGGGCCTCCTCCCGGTGGGACGTACCTGGAACACCTCACCAGGGAGACGTCCAGGAGGCATCCTAATCAGATGCCCCACCCACCTCAACTGGCTCCTCTCGATGTGGAGGAGCAGTGGCTCTACTCTGAGTCCTCCCTGGATGACTGAGCTCCTCACCCATCTCTAAGGGAGAGCCCAGACACACTACGGAGAAAACTAATTTCAGCCACTTGTATCCTGGATCTCGTTCTTTTGGTCATGACCATAGATGAGGGTAGAAACGTAGATCGACCGGTAAATTTTTGGCTCAGCTCTCT